TCCTCAACCCAAAACAGGGCATTTTGGGCAGTGGCTTTGCTCTCAAGGTGCAACAACACCAACGTCAGAAGCACTTGATCAGGCGTCGAGTCCCGGCTGCCAATTTGATACAGTGTCTCTGGCGTTGCTACGCAGCTGATGAGAATTCCACCTCAATTGCTACCTGGAAGATGCACATAAAGCCGGCGCGATTGTCTGCCAGGTGAGCAAAAGAAGTGATTTATTATGACAAGCGGATCTATTTTAAAAGAAAATTTGACTGGCTGCAAACGATCGGTAGCAGAAAATAAATAGATTGAAGAAAGTTATGAGTTAAATGAATTATCAAATAGGGTTAATAAGAATAAATTTGCATTATTCATCGATAGGATGTAGGAAAAAATATATATTTAGACGTAGGCAGACATATAAACAAATGTAATCGTTTCTTGTTGATGTCATACTTTGAAGTTTGGAAAAGTATAGAGGAACTTTTGTTCAAGTTAAACGTCAAAACAATGCATACAAATGATATCAATAACCTCGAATAAGCATATATTTCGAGTATTTTTGGGCTAACTTTCCTCACTTTGAGGCTATGAGATTTTAAGCTTATAAAAAGAACTATTTTCCCAAAATACAAAACTAGTTGAAGCCATAGATAATAGAAGACATGGAAAAAAATAAAGGAAATCACATCGTTTCGACGGTACGGGTAGGATAAGTCAAAGCAAAAAATAGAGAATATATAGAAATAGAGACAAACAGACAAACTCATAAAGATGAGGAATAAGTAAGGGAAAATGAAGAGACAGAAATATTGAGATAACATGAGATAAAATAATATATGATTTGTTTTAACTGGATACATTTTAGATGAAATTTTATTAGTTAAGAATTATTAATATATCTTGATCCTTCTTTGATTTTTATTTTTACTATTTTTTCAATATATTTCTATTTTTGCCTCTTTCTTCTTAGCCCAAATTATGATAAGTCTTCCGCTTCCCGATTTGGTATATTCTCCTCAATAAAGCGTCGCATTCCACAAGCTACAATGGTCCCCACGTTGTCAATGGTGACGTCTGGCAGCGGAATTTTAAAAAATCCTTCCTCCTTGCAAATGATCGCC